GTTTCCAAAGCAAAGTTTAGTTACTACTCTTAGTATGTTTCCAAAGCAAAGCACACTTCCGATTTTTAGTGCGTTTCCAAAGCAAAGTTTAGTTACTACTCTTAGTATGTTTCCAAAGCAAAGCACACTTCCGGCTTTTAGTGTGTTTCCAAAGCAAAGCACACTTCCGATTTTTAGTGCGTTTCCAAAGCAAAGTTTAGTTACTACTCTTAGTATGTTTCCAAAGCAAAGCACACTTCGGGCTTTTAGTGTGTTTCCAAAGCAAAGTTCACTTCCTACTCTTAATGTGTTTCCAAAGCAAAGCACACTTTCTACTTTTAGTGTGTTTCCAAAGCAAAGCACACTTCCGTCTTTTAGTGTGTTTCCAAAGCAAAGCACACTTCCGGCTTTTAGTGTGTTTCCAAAGCAAAGTTCACTTCCTATTCTTAGTGTGTTTCCAAAGCAAACCCACACTTCCGGCTTTTAGTGTGTTTCCAAAGCAAAGTTCACTTCCTACTCTCAGTGTGTTTCCAAAGCAAAGCACACTTTCTACTTTTAGTGTGTTTCCAAAGCAAAGCACACTTCCGGCTTTTAGTGTGTTTCCAAAGCAAAGTTCACTTCCTATTCTTAATGTGTTTCCAAAACAAAGCACACTTCCGATTTTTAGGGTGTTTCCAAAGCAAACTCACTTTCATCTACAACTGAATCAAAGACTTAAGTTGGGGAATTACCCAACATAAAACAAAACTTGGTTAATATTTAGTCAAGGATTACTTCCTTGCTTTTTCGTATTTCTAAAAAACAAATTAAAAAATCATTAGAAATAAATATAAGCAGAAAAAAACGAAGCAATCCACTGAACATTTTGGAAAGTACAGATGTGTTAAAGAAAACCTAATTGTCGAAAGTAATTAAATTATTACTTGTGTAACAGAAATATTGTAACCCGATTCAAATTTATTTTACTCTCACAAAATGGTTTATTATGTTAACATCTGATCAAATCAAAAATTTTTTAAATTTGTTAACACCATAACTTTTAACATCAGATTCCAGAAATTAATGTAAATATATATATATAATTATACATATTACGAACTTGGAGTCCATCACTTAAGTGTGAAACTAACTTAATAAACAGTTACAGATTCCAATCTATTTTAAATTTATATTTAAATTTAAAAGGTAGGTAGCGCTTTAAACCTTAAGAGACCAAGTTTAACTCTTGGACTCGTGTAGTTTTCTACCAGACTGCTTATTCGATTAATAAGTGTGTTTGTTTGTAATTAATTAAGCACAAAGCTACACAATGGGCTATCTGTGCTCTGCCCACCACGGGTATCGAAACCCGGATTCTAGTGTTGTAACTCCGCAGACATACCGCTGTGCCACTAGGGGGGCTGATAAATAGAACCAAAGGTTTAATACTAAATATGGTGAGAATTCTTCCCTTTCGTTTTTTTTACAATGAAAGTTTCGAGTAAAAAACAAAACTGTTGTAATAATTAGTCTTTCAAGATTGTTTATTCTGAGGTAAACAAAATCTAAAAACAAACTGAGCGAAAAAATATTCTTTAAAGAAATAATAAAAGCGTCAAAAATTATTCACCATTACTGAATTATTCCCCTGTATGTTTGTTTGAGGAGAGCTACAAAAGGGTTTACAAACACCTCTAATTAGCTAATTATGAACTAACATAGTACATGGAAGTCAGTTATTCAGCTACAGAGCCTGGCATGGTTTTATGGTTAGGGCGCTCGACTCATACATAATCTGTGTTGTGGTTTCAAATCTCATTACCGAGCATGCTTGCCTTTTCAACCCTAAAGGCGTTATTATGTGACGGACAGTTCCACTTTTCATTGGTAAAGAGTATCCCAAGAGATGGTGGTGTTGACTAGCTTCCAGTCTCATTTTAAATAAGGGAGGGCAGATAGCCCTCAATTATTTTAGCACGGAATCCAACAAACAAACTAGTTAACAGCACCCACAGCCAACTCTTGGGTTACTGTAGTCTGGCCGAACAGTGGGAGTTGACCATCGCTTTTATAGCACACCATTAACCCCAAAATTAGGATTCTCTTTTTCTGGAAATGGGTCAGACTTCTATTTATACAATTTTATTCTTATTCTTTTGACTGTTTATCTTAAAGACATAAAAGCAAAAGTGGCCAAATTTACACAGATAATTGTGTGTCTAGTACACTACATCTGAAATGTGTATCAACATAAAGATTAAAACATTGTAGTCAAATCACTGAAGTCAGAGACAGTTCCATAAAAAAAAAGAAGAAAACTATTTTTCTAACTATAAATCCGCTACAGCTCCTCTCTCTCTGGAACAAATATTTCCAGACTAATAAATAGTTACTTAATAAGAGGAAAAATTATCAATAAAGTTTATTGATTAGATACCGTAAGAATGCGGTTGATACTTCGTATAGTATGAGACCGTTGTCGAATAATATCTTATTTATCGAAACTACATAACAGTACTTAAGCATAATCGTTCGTAACTTTGGACTACCAAATGTTTACTACCATCTATACTACTAGTATTTATTAGTTAAATGTTTACTACCATCTATACTACTAGTATTTATTAATAAAATGTTTACTACCATCTATACTACTCGTATTTATTAATAAAATGTTTACTACCATCTATACCACTCGTATTTATTAATAAAATGTTTACTACCATCTGTACTACTCGTATTTATTAATAAAATGTTTACTACCATCTATACTACTCGTATTTATTAATAAAATGTTTACTACCATCTATACCACTCGTATTTATTAATAAAATGTTTACTACC